TCTGACATATTTTTGGCATGTTGCAAGGAGGGACTGGTCCTTGGAGAGGGACATCATGTTTGGCAGAGTGGAGGGGCGGCGAAGAAGAGGAAGACCTTTGATGAAATGGATTGATTCTGTGACTGGAGAGGTGGGAATAAGTGCATTTGAGATGGCTAGGCTGGTACAGAATAGAAGAGCATATACTATGAGTCGCAAGAGACTCTATGGCACATAACAACAACAACAACATGTGTTTTCAAATCAGAACCAACTCAGCTGCGTTCCAGTGAGTTTTCATAGGCTGTGAATTAAACGGGAGAAGACTGCTCACCTGGGAGATTTAAACTGACAGTGCAGCTCTTTATCACAAGGCCACCAATGTTCTCTATGTACCCTTGTTATTGTCATGTGCCACTGAGTCAGAAATGAAGCATAGCTGGTACTGCAGTGAGATTTCAGAGACAACACACTGCATGTGAGGAGATTTTCTTCCTCAGAGCGGCTGTCTTTGGGATTGCAGTGCAGGTGCTTATCACTAGGCCACATGAGAGACAAATAAATACTGTGCCTGGAAAGGATTATGGGGTTAAAACAAAAGGAGGGTGGTGAAGCAGGACTGCTAGAGCGTGCTAGAGAAAGAAAGGGCTAGGAATGTGATAGAGGGAGCCTGGAACTACTTCCAAGAGGAAGTGATGCTTGATCTCCTTCTTTGTATTCTTTTCCTACTCCCCATTCCAACTCCTCCTTCACCTCTGCATTTCCTGAATTCTGGATGTCAGTCTAGCTTTTTTTTATTGCCTTTGGCAAGAAATATGATCACAGAAAACAGCAGAGACATTTGAATCCAGTCTTGGGCTTTGAGTTTAAAGGGCAGGCCAGGACTTGAGGTAAGCATGCCAGATACTAGAGACTATGCCATAAGTAAAAGCAGGCTTTTCTATTCTCAGAGCATAAGAAAGACTGTCAAGGCTCAGAGGAGGGAGGAGTTGACAGTGCCTACTTTGAGAGTATAGGCACCAGTGAGAACTTGCATCTTTTGTGGCTGAACCCTGGAGTGGGGAGACCCTCACTGGGCAGTGAATGATTCCAAGTGATTAAACGATATTAATAATCTCTAAAAAAAACACTAAACACCAAAAAACCCCAAACAAACCCAAAATTGCAAATTCAATATCTTTTACATGAAAAAGATAAGTGTTATGTATTATGCTTGTCGGATTGTACAACCATCACCGCTATTTCCCAATTTCCCTCTCCTCTTGGTGAATATTCTTAAAAGAAGCCCTAGGTAAAGGATACAGGCAAGCCCCTCACCTCTCCTGAAGTCCAATGGGCTTCATCTTGAAAGGGGAAGGACACGTAGAGGTGGCAGCTTTGATCTCAGGTGTGCATCGGCCTTGAGGGTCCACAACGACATTCAGCACCTTGGGAGCCTGCTCAGGCTGGACCATACTGTTTACTGCCTTTGCCTCGGCCTGTGTTGGCTGTAATGTGATGGGCGATAAGTGGATCTCTTGATTTTTCTCTTTATCTTGTCTCAGGGAGAGCTGAAACTTTTCTTTTAGCTTGTAGAGAATCTACAGGAGGAGAGATAAAAGGTTATCACATTCTCTCAGACTGAACACCCTATGATCTCCTCCATCCAGAGAGGTATTTACAGATAATAGTGTCTGTGGCAAGCACTGAAGTCACATCCCTGTTCAGATCTCTGACATTCATATTTTACATAACTTTATAATAATATCAGCTCAAAATACAAACCAAACTGGTTAGCCTTTTAGATAGTATATAGGACACCACATTAAAATTATAGCTGTCCCTTCCTTGCTTTCACTGATGAAAATTAGTCAATGATGTTCTTAACACCAGTTTTTCCACCTCAGTTCTATCTCTTTTTAGACTCAACAAAGCAAGATCACACAGCCTGCCTTGATCTGTGGAGACTCATAAATATGAAAGTATTACTTTTAACTTGCTCAATGATCTCTCATAGATGGTGACAGAAACTACAATGGTTGGTAGAAATTGCTCAGAGGTACTCTTCCCCTCCCCCACCTTTCATGTAGTAGAGCCAAGAATACCTTAGATACACCTTAGTTTCCATCTCACTCCAGAAACGAAAAAAACAAAACAAAACAAAAAACCCCACAACAACCCAAAACAACCACCCCAAACCACAACCTCAACTCATTGTTATCAAGTCAGAACCAATTCACAGCTAACTCTCCAGGGGTTTTCTGGAAGCTGTAATTACATAGAAGAAGATTATCTATCTTTATTCCAAGGAGCTGCTGGTGGATTTGAACCATCTTTGGGTTAGCAGTACAACTCCCTATCGACAGTGCCATAAGAGCTCCTTTCCAGAAGACAAGCAAAAATGAAGGTTTAATGATAATGAAAGTAAGCAAAGCATTCTTAGGTGATTTCTTATTCCTGTGGAGTGAATTTCTTACTTTTTTTTTCTTCGAAGGACATAGTTATAACCTGAAGGCACACAGTTCAAGTCCACCAGCTGCTCTGAAGGTAAAAGATGGGCAAACACCTCTCATGCTATTATACTGTCTCTGAAAACTCGCTGGAGGGTCAGGTATGGCTTGGTTCTGACTCAACAGTACATAACAACAACAATCATGGCTAGAAAAGTTTACCATAGTTGGCAAAGTGAAAGGACTTTTGTAAGTAAGGGAGGCCGTTGGTAAGATGGATTGACATAGTGGCCCAAACAATGGCTTACGTTTTGAAATTATCCTAAAGGTGGCACACAGTGAGGCACTGTTTTGTTCTGTTGTATGTCAGGCCTCTGTGCATTGGAGCTGACTTGACAGCAACTAACAGCAGTTATAGTGCACATACATATTAAATACACAGCATCATGAATTTCTTTCTCAAAGACACACTCAAAAGTAGAATTGATTAATCTCATAAAAATATCAGTTGTAAGTGTGATCAGATGGACATTCTTTCTTAAGATGACTGAGTGGAGGGCTTGTAGAAAGAATAGCAAAGAAAGATGAGCATGTTATATGCTTATATAATCAGAAATCTACATCCAATACAGTGTAGGGGAAAACAATTCTGCAAAATATCAATAAAAGAACAGTTATGATAGCATCAATTTTTATGTTAGGGTTGATAAATATTCCATCTATCCTATATTAGCATAATGCATGGGCATTGAGTTGATTCTGACTCATAGTGATGCTGTTGTACAGAGTAGAACCGTCCCAGAGAGTTTCTGAGGCTATAAAACTAGAGCAGAATGTTTCATCTTTTCCTCAAGAAGCAGTTTGTTATTCAATCATTTGGTTAGCAGCCCAAGTACTTAACCCACTGTGCTACCTGGACCCTTTGTACTAACATTTGTATCTGGTAATACTTGAAATGCTATATTTTTGTGGTTATGTGCCACTGATTTGGAATTGCCTCACAGCTGACGCTTCAGTGGGTTTTCAAAGACTATAAATGGCATGGAGGAAAGGCTCATCTTTCTCCTGTGGAAGAGCTGGTTAATTCAAATTGCATACCTCCTCCATTCTTAACAGAACTCTTTCTAAAAGGACTAATGCATTTCAGAAATGGTTACATTTCAATACTTAAACATTTGTAAGAATTGGATTAACTTTGCTTGTCTCTCACTGGAACTCATGTGAGGTAAGACAGACTTGTCTTTTATATTCTCAGGCTTTTTCATAGACTAATTCTTTTTTTTTTGAGGTTGATTTCTTCAATTTCTGTAGAAACTAGATGTTCTCATGCTTCTTTAAGTCTGCTTTCAGAAAATGACTTGATAGACTAATTTACAAGAAGATGTGACTTAACCAATTATCTACAACTAAGGAAACAACACAGACAACATTTGCATTCTAAAAAGCTGTAAGCCAATTGAACTTCTCCATTTAATTCCAGAAATCCATTAAGGGAATAAGTGCTATTTTAGAAGAAGAGGACATTTCAGGTACTTTTAGAATCACATTTACTCTAAATAGTCACGTTTTAACTTTGCCTCTTCTATAAATCCTAATAATTTTTCTATTTTTTAAAAATGGAAAGATATAGTATACACATAGGGAGATTTGGTGACCATGTGGGTAAGGAGTTGCTCTGCCAACCCAAAGGCAGGTGGATTGAATCTACCAGCTGCCCCCAGGACAATATCCTCCTGTGGATTTACAGTCTCTGCAAACCCACTGCAGGGTGAATTATGAGTGTGTATGTTGTTGCACTGTGTGTTGTTGACTCGGAACAGACTGACTCTCTCTATTATATGAATTTCATATGTTGTTATGTGCCATTGAGTCGCTTGTGATTCATTGCTACCCTATGTACAACAGCTCTGAACCTTGCTCTATCCTGAGCTGAACTTATTCTCTCCGATACATTTACTTCAATTTCCCCAGTGGCTTGAGTTGTGGAAAGACAGCACAAGAGAGGAAGACCTTTGATGAGATGGATTGACAGACTAGGAAGAAGGATTGGCCATCCACTTCTGAAATAGCAGGCCTCTGAAAACCCTATGTACAACAGAACACATTTAGATAACAGAAACGGCAAAGGAGGTTGAGTTTTCAAGTATGGAAATACAAAGGAAGAGGAACAGTTGTAAGCAGACACTGGTGATTGGGACATGGAATGTGAGAACCATGAATG